GTATATGATCAGAGATGTTAGATTATATTGTAGCTTGCCAAATACATCAAAGTTAAAAATAAGAATCCAACATGCTTGGATCACCTAAATATGGATTCTTAGGCATTGGCTAGCTACAGGTGCAAAATCATTCCTAATTGGGTATGAATACAATCCAATGTTTGGTACCTATGTATGATTAGATGAAGATGGTTTATAATATTTTTGGAATTTTTTATTGTAATATAGCATGTTGTATCATTTTATAAAAAGATATGTTGTCAAAAAAAATAATCCATAAGCAAATAAGTGAACAAAAAACATACTGCAATTGAAATAAAGATGACAGTGCTACCACATGGTTGGATACCACATATGTAGAGAGAATAATGGATAAAAAATTCACACACTTCAGTAGCATTCTTGATACATATGGATGTCAATTTTAATAGTAATTATTCATTCATAATCTGTAAGCACATTAGATTCACACACAAGGTTTGGTTTAACTTGATTAAACCAGGAGTGGGCTTTGTTGGAACTTTGCGACCACCAAACCACAAAGCAAACTTGAAATTACAACCATTGCAAAAATCAAGAGAAATACATGTTTTTGTTTATATGTATATACATAAATACACACCGGAATTGGAAACATTCCAGAATCCACAAGGCCCATTTCCTGCCATTAAAAGTGTGGAAGGTTCTAGTTATGCTGTTGCATGCAGAGGTCTCACAGACAGGCCTTCAGTGACAGGAACAAAAAGAGTTGGTGCCACAGCCATTACAAGGCATGCAAGGCACTGTGATTTCTATAAGGGGGTTAAAAAAATCCCAAGTGAGAAATCATGGATTGTGATCATGGATCACATTTGTGGATGCTTCACATTTTATTTCTTTATTATAAGCCTTTGCTTTTTGTGCACGACAGGGCAGCATGCATTGAATTCCAACCCTGGTGGCTTAGTCTTGGACTTGTTCACTTAATGCATAAAAAATTCACTTGCACCACTAACTGCATCCACAAACTTCATTTAATGTGAGTTGTGTGATGAGGTGGTTTGGAGCTCAATAAAGTATCACAATGATGATGATAGTAAAAATTAATCAGTTTTGTAGAAATTGCACAAGATTTGAGTTTATTGGACCTAAGACCCATGCTTGCAATATATATATATATATATATATATATATTGTCATGTGTCAATGTTTCCATGTTGGTATGGAAACATCCTTAGTGAAATTTTCTACAGGAGTCTACCTACAATGTGTGGGAAATATACAATTGACAAATTTAAGTGCAAGTCACAAAGTTTTAAATTATGTGGCCAACATCCAATCAATCAACTAATAACTGATATAGAGAAAAGAGGTATTTTATCCCTTTCTTGATTCTGTGGGTAAAGAAATTTATTGCTTGTGCAACCTCAAAACATTCTTGCTTGTCTGGTTTAAACATAACAATGGGCAATATGAAAACAATAAATTAAATCACAGTTATTCTAATTTGTTTTATTCATGTGTATTTTTAATTCTTGCCCAAACACCTCTTCAACTTCCTCAAATTTGCATATGTATATATATATATATCTCTTGCAATGTATAATTAATGTTGAAAAGAAGAAAGGTACTTGACATCCTAATACACAATTATATAACAAGTTTTGCTATCTCCACCACAATTGCATGAAAATTTTAGTCAATTTTAGTCAAAATTTTCTTTTTGTTACTTCCTCCATAACATCTCACCATGGTCATATATATTAAAAATCACAACAATTGTTTTGTTGGAATTTTTTTAAAAACTAAAGAAACATGTCACATGGGTGGAGGGTTGCAGTGGCAATAGAAAATAAATGTGGTGGTATTAGAAATACCCTATATATATATATACATAATAAGCAACCATCAAAGTTTAGAAATAAGACCTTTGTTATTATTATTGTTATTTACAGAAGAAATCCACAAATCATTTCAAACAGGAATTGTTTTACATGCAAATGTGATATAATTGACATTAACTGTTTGGATTTTTTTGTAATCAGTAACCACATGTGATTTCAAAAAAAAATACAAAAATACAAAAATACAAAAAGGACAAGAAAGAAAGGAAAACTAATTTTTTTAAAAAAATTCAGAAAAAGGAACAGAAGGTTATAAAATAAGAAAATTATTTGTAAAATCACATGTTAGCTTAGTTTCCAATTCACAGTGATCCGTAGTATTATTCCTTGGTTCATTTTTATTGAAAAAGGAGGAGAAGGGAAAGAATGTGGATCCCAGTCTTGCACAAACTTAAAAATTAAGAAATGAAAACAGAGAAGAGGGAGAAGTAAGTTGAGTCTTTCCTGCGTTTGTCTTTGGATTGCTCTGCTTCTTCCTTCCATTTTCTTTCTGAATGGCATTGATGGATTGGGGAGAAAGAGCAAACCCACTGCATGTATGTACCAGTGCTGAGGCTCTCAACTGGTAGCTCTTAACTGTGCGTGACTGAGTCTCTGACAAACCGAATTACTGACCACCTGACGCCCTACCTCCGTCGTTATTTTCCTTCTCTCTATGTTTTCCTTCAAGGAAGAAACAGACACAAGGGAAGAGGATTTGGTGGATAACTGCTTTGGAGTGCCTCCCAGCCTACCAACAGCAAGAATCACCTCAAAAATCACCTACACACAGACTGAAACAGAAAAATGAGATTAAGAGGCTGACTTCTGCATCTGTTTGATTGTTGCAGAGTTGGTACTTTTGATGGTGGGGGGGTGAGTGACACTGATGCTCACATCTAGCTTGTGATTCCCAGTCCTCCAATGACAGCCCCATTTTTGTTTTTCTTTTTTGTCTTTGCCCCCACTCCCACTTCATGGTCCAACTCTGCCTGTTGTCTGCATAACATGTCCAGTACCAGCTCCAATTTTTGGCTGTCACTGTGGACTCTAGCTTTGTAGGAAAAAGGCAGAGAGAGAGAGAGAGAGAGAGATGCCAGCTGAAAGCACTCCCTAGCTCCCCCTTTTCCCCCTCACAAGGATGTTGGTGACGTCCATTCAACTACCTGAAGGGAAGTGAAGAGGAGATAGCCAATAGTACATTTATAGACTAGTGTAGTTTGTGAGGCAGGAGGTGCAGAGAAGAAATTGCCCTCCATGGTAATCAAGAGAAGGCATGTGGGGCAGTGGAGAGTACTAAGAAAATGGGTTCATCTGACAACATGACCAGGCACCCCCAAAAATGCCCCTAGAACTTAAACTGCCTGTCCTACACTTGCACTCTCAACAGCATTACCCAAACCCATATCTAAACCACAACCATTACCACAACTACCACTACTCTACTCTGTGCTTTGTTTGACTACTTGTCTCACAGGACCCACACCCAGCAACTGAACCAAGCTGATGGGTCTGCTTATGCCCCCATCCACACAGGGATGTTATCCCATTTGGCACACAGTTGGTGACTGGCATTTGCACTCTGCGCCCCTTGACTAAGTGCTCTCACTACGATCTCTTTGGTACAACTGTTCCTGCTGCCATGTCTCCAGATTCCTTGAAGCCATGGCACTCACTGCCTTGCAGAAAAGGTCACTTGTGGCTTGAAGAGGATTGGGGATGGTTAATAAGGGAGTAACTTAAATCCATGGCCAGTGGAGATCTATAGGATGGTCTCATAGTATGCCAAATTTCAACCTGAAGTTGCAATAAATGGGTAGGTGTCCATGATTTTTTATCTTTAATGCATTGAGTTGTTGATCTAGAATAAGTTTTCTCAATATGCCACATGGACAGGTTTAATATTCCATTTTCTTTATTTTGTAACCAGATAGTGCAGTGCAATGATTGCAAGGCCATGGGCAAAAAATAATTCACATCTGAAAATTCTGATATCTAATCTTTGGCTTGAACAGCTCCTAATCCTAGTTTTAAAATAGTATGATTTGGAAAGGAATAGACATATGGTGGCATGCAAAACTTCCAACAAGACTTTAGAGAAGCATCAAATAATTTCTTATGTTTTCAATTTAGAGTGATGTATGACAGAGTTTGGGTTCTAATCAATCCAACGTCTGTGAGGTTATTGGTTAGTGTACAAATTCAGGTGCTACAGCTGGGTTAACTTTCATTGCCACACGAATGTTCTGACTGCAAGTTGAAGTTGTAATAGATGATTGATTCTATTCATTAATGCGCGAACATTGAAGTAGAGAATGGCAGAGTTTAGTGTTGGTTTAATGTAATTTGGTTTGACTTTTGGGTCCACAAGGACACCGCTGTAAAGCACCCTTAAAAAAACACGATCTAACATGCCCTGGATAAAATAAAGCCCTTAAATAAAACAAAATTTAATATAACTGATGATGCCCTGGATTCATGGAAAAGATAAGCGATGAAATTCAGCAGTGTCATTTCTTTGTGTCAAATCCGCTGAGGAAGAAATAGGCCTGAATTATAACTCTAGTTCTTTGGATGATGGATCCCTCTAGCTTCTGCCCCGCTCAAGAAATGTTATAAATGAGTCCACGTGGAGTTGTCAGAGAGAAGGGACAAGAAAATCAAAATATACCAACAAGTAAGGTACACACGGACGACATGCATTCAATTCAGTGCACTGGCAAAAACTGACTGATTGCGTAGATGAATGATATCAGGCAAACAGTTGGGAAATGTGTCGTTCAAGTCAAAGCTTAGGCTCCACGGCTTCAGAAACAGACTTCAACATTCACGTCTTCCAAATGATGCCATCAGTAACAGACAGAGGCATCCCATGGAAACTAGAACTTTCGACTTAGCCTGAAACGGAGAATAGTCTGCGAAAGGACTCATATAAAAAAAACAAGAGCACTTTTGCATATTTTTAAAATTTTAACTCAGACATTTCATTCATCACTTGAGTGCTACAATTGTACCTAAGTATAAAATGTACTGCATCCAAATCATTCTTCCATACTTCATGAGATACATTTATGAAAACTACATGTATAGAATATACATGCAGCATAAACACGACAACACGAGAACAAACTGAAAACGTTGGGAACCGATCAATCAATACAGGTATGTGCTGATTCACAAAAGTGAACAGGGATCTGCTGAGATCGCAGTGCGTAATTCTCAGTGCCTTGTGTCTCAGAAAACTGATAGTACTTCACAACTTGTCGACGTCGTGTAAGCCTTGTTACACAGATTTGTAGAAAGGGTACATTTTAAAATAAGGCCACAAGAATCACCCTTAACTTTCTAGAAGCATAATAGATACAACGATGCACTACAGGTTCCCTGCGCTTTCCGACTCGTGATAAACCCCCAAAGCAATCCAGTGTCGTGGATATGAGCAACATATTTGCAACAAACAACGTTTGTCTAGTAGATCACAAATACCATTAAAGCAACTGCTTAAACAGTATCTTCTTGAAATAGCCAAAGAAGCAACATTCGTCTAGACTTCGCCCACAACCGATGATCAGCATCCTTCATAAAAGATGTCTTCTTTGCAGCTAGAACACCATGTCAAATCATTGCAAACGACTCCTATTCAGCACAGAGTAAGAAGGATGCTACCCATGCCAACTTGGCTCGTGCATCCATCTACTTGCTGCAAATCAGCGATCTCTGCAAGGGACAATAGTGGATAGTCAGTGTCTACATGGATAGACCGAAGCCAGAGAGAGGAAGGAACAAAACGAGAGAAGTGAAAAAAGAAGGAAAAAAACTTTAAGTATGCAAACCAAGGCGAGGACAATCAACATTAAAACACAGTACTTAATCCATAAACCAGTGAGGGAGCTTGCAACATCTGGGGGCTCTAGAACTTGGATCGTTTAGTCGTTAGAAAATCATTCACCTTTCTCTCTCTCTTTCTCGTGAACGAGACCGTCCAATATGGTCTCTCTCCCAATCTCTTTCTCGATCACGGTCATAATCGCGATCCCGATCACGGCCACCACGATCTCTCTCTCGACCCCCACGATCACGGTCTCCACGATCACGGTGGCGGTCCCGATGTCTATCACTTTCGCGTTCTCGATCATCTCTGTCTTTCTCACGATCGCGTTCTCGATAACCATCATCATCCCGATCTCGCGTTCGATCATGTTCTCGGTCGAAATCACGATCCTTGTCTCGCTTATCCGGCTTCTCCAAATCCCTATGGCAAGGCAGAAGAGGAGTGAAGCTCGTTACATTTGGGAATTCTTAGGATCATAAAAACAATCAAGTTCCTTCAAGAAAGACAACATTCGAATGACAATCCAAATGTTCCGGAACCCAGAAGCCGTCAGAATGATGAATATAAGGCAAGTCCAATAATAATAGCAAGGCAGTCTCACCTATCATCATAATTCATGACAACGTCCCGTGCCTTAGGCTCTTCTGATCTGGTGGCTGTTGCAGCTGTAAGCAGTTGCGGCTCTCTAAACCAAGTAAACCACGAGTATATTTAGACTGATTATGTACGGTGAAGAAAGTGCGGCATTGAGTACGGTGTCAGCATTGATTATTCATAAGGCCATCCACATCCATCTTCTATAACTCAGGCACATCTACGTTTAAAGCAGCCAGAGGCTAGACAACAACACCAGTCAATTCACATGTGAATTTCGTTAGCTAAATAAGATTGTTTGTGCATATTAATAGGAGTTATGAAATTTAGCACCAGGTTAGGAAGAACGCACCGTCCAGAGTACTTCTGATTCACTTCATCGCCTCCTACTCGTGTGGATCCCAAACCTCCACCCAATCTTCGAGGACGCCAATTGGGTACAGTTCGGCCTCGTTCAACGTCAACAAGAACTCGCCGATTGTCAATCTTGCGACCATCGGCTTGTTTATAAGCAGCTGTACACAACAGATGTGTTTGCATTCAAAAATCTATTAAGATAAACAGGTTACCAAGAATGAACCAGCTTTGTAAGCACATCTGACCAAAACGGACGGCATTAGTAAGAAAAAACAAGCGCAGAACTATACATACTCTTCATGTCCCGCGTATGCTGATACTCTATGAATGCATATCCTCGAGGAGTCTTCGACATTTTATCATGTACAAGTCGGACCTGAAAAAACAAGTAGTGATGAATTTTACTCCGCAAAATCTTTTGCAACTTGAGAAGCCAGAAGGAATATATATATATATATATATATATATATATATATATATAAATTACAATATACATTACAACGATACTCCACTAAAGCATCACACACATGGGCATGAAAGATCTGAAAAGTTGGGTCGACAACTCACACGTTTTATAGGACCATAGCTTTCAAATTCTCTTCGAATTTTGTGTTCGGTCGTTTCATAGCTCTGCAAGAAACATGCCGGGATAAAATATAGGGTGAACCGTCATTCAGATGTTCGAAGAGGTCACTGCAACAGAACATTAAGGCATCCTGTAGTATGAAAGTCGCTGGAGACACTCAATACAGCCAACAGTACAAGCGGATAATCTGAAAGATAATTCACTGAACTACAAGGTGCAGCTTTTCAAGACAAAGAAAATTAGAGAATGTTCAAAAGACATACAATGCGAGCTACAAAAAGGGTCTTGTAAGGATCTCCTTCTATATCTGGATCATTGGTTGGATCATCTGCCAAAGCCAAAGGATAAGTAGGTTTTAGAAACCAGCATTTCGAGAGAACTTGAGCTCTTAATTTCTTACTAGATATGTGCATAATGTTTCAAAATGCAAGTTTGAATCACTTAGGGGTTTGCATCAAGGCCCAGAAAGCTAACAAAAATTTGTCTTGAAATCGATACATACACTTTGACAGCTCATCAAGCGCCTTCTTAGCTCCTTCCTCCAAACGGAGTTGATGAATTCGAGCGCGTCTTTGTGTCTGTTCACTTCCATATATCAGTGATCGCTGATGTCTGTATCTTATATGGAAAAAGAAAATAATGTACTTACTACTATTGACACATAGACAAGCAAATATCAAGTTATGTAAGAACAAACAGGGGTAAAAAGTAGTGACTTCATATAACATAAATTGACACAGAAGGGTGAAATGCAGAACAGCATAGCGAGCCAAAGCACAGGGCATAGTTACTGATGAGAAATCTTACAGGAGTTTCCCCCTTCGTAACAGGAGGGGCATATTCGGGATCCCCAGGCTCTGCAAAATGCTGAACAAACTGCCCAATGCCTGCAACACAGCCGAAAAGCGTACTCATGAACAGGAGGTAATTAGTTGAATGGTTCTGAAAACATATTATCACCTAAACCGTCCACATGTATGCACTAGTAGAATCACCACGAATCAAGTTTTTTGTAGTGCTAGCTCAATGCTGGCTCCATACAGAAATCAGCTCTTGCTACTCTACCGTAGACTCTAGGTGGCACTCCCCAAAAAAAAAAAGATGGCCACATTGCATGAAAATTATCAATGACCTTGATAAGGCGGACACTTTCGCTTTTCAGGAGGGGGCTTGAATTCCAAAGGAGGCCTAGGCTCGAAAAGCTTCAAAAGATTAGTAGTCAAACCAGTTGGATGGCTCTGCCCAATCTGAAGCAAACGGATAAGAATGTGTTAGTCCATTTCGCACAACCTGAAAGCACCTACCACACATAATATTTCGTACATCAGAACCGACATCGACCCTTTCGTTTAAGGCGGAACCTTCTATATTAGTGGCGACAAGGTTGATAACGATGGATTTACAGGAGAAGTTAAACAATCAAGAATAATGCTAAGTCGATCAGCTGGCCCTTAACAAAGAGCAAATAGAACGAGGACCTCCACATACCCCAAGTGAATGTGTATGAATGTGTGGCTATATCTTTTGTGTGTTTTAGCAAGAACATACACATATGTACTTCTACAAATATTCCCACACTTAACAATGCAAGAGCATTTTGCCCTAAAAGCAAAATTAGTCCACTTCCTCTTCAAAATAACGACAGGTTTGACAACAGGAAACAGGGTTTAGGGCTGTAGCCATAACCCCTCAATACTGCAAGTGATACAAATAACCATTACTATCTGAGTGCAAACAAAATTAGGGAACAGCCTCACTGTTCAAAAAAAAAAAAAAAAAACCAATAAAACACCGGACCAAATGCGCGGTAAACATAGGCACACCTCTAAACACCACCGACAAATGTCCCATCCAGAAGATCCGTAACAACCCTAGGGCTCCGCCACGCATCACTTGCAGCTACCACAGGGCAAGAAAAACGAACTCAACGCCACAATTAAACTTTCAGAACGAGGAGAAAAAAATTCCACAAGCACGAAAAAAAAAGACTCACCAGTTTAAGCTGCTGCACAGTGGCACGGTTCTGCGTCTTGGTGCGACCGGGCGGACCCGAAGCATCCTTGCGCATGTAGGCGTCGCCATAATCGCCCATGGCGAAGACGAGTAAAGATGTGGCAGGAGAAGGGAGAGAAGGGAAAGAACCGAAAGCGAGGCAATTAGGGCCCCGGACGGAGAGGTTGCGTGGCCCTAGAAAAGGCAAGGCCGAGTTTGACGATGTCGCTGTGAGGCTGGTTGCGGAGGAGCCCCCATGTCACGGCGGATCCCTGCGTATGGCGAACAGCCCCGACGTAGCAGCCGCATACGCACATACACAATAGACCTGGCAAGGCGTGGGGACTTCGCAAGGGCAGGCGACCGGACGGAACGGGCCGGGACGGGGCCGGGACGGGGCACCAGCCCTTATTGTCAGTCTCTCGCCGTATTCGCATTACGTCAGTCCTGCACGCTCCGCACCCTTTTTCTCTCTCTTTCTCTGGGTCTGTCTTTCTGGCCTTCCATTTCTGGTCTACTCCCCATTCGTTGCAAGTCTGCAACAACTAAGTACTCATTGGCGGAGTGTCAACAATGAAGATGGGTGTAGACAAGTTTTCTTTACTGAATATTTTCTATTGAAGATCATTCCAATACATTCTTGTCAAGCTATCTTAATACATGAATTTCATTTTACCATGCATGAACTACTATTTTTTCATTTATTTATCTGATACTTATCATCTCTTTCCATGCTACTACAAACACATTTTTTTTATTTTTTATTTTGAGTCAATGTAGTAACTCATCATTGATCATATTAAACTAGGATTGATTCTATAACATCCAACACTCTTCTATAATATTCAATCATAGTTTTTCTTTCTTTCAAAATGTTGCTTGTTTCTACAGATACTATGACTCATCTTCAATCATTGTTGTGCATGATTTCTCAAGCTTCTTTTTATAGAATTCTTGTTCCTTTTTGAATAATTTTTACAAATCCTTTGTGATACTTTGTAGGAACAACTTCATTTTCTTATTGCTTACTTGGCTTTTATATTGGCATCAAGATTTTTCTATTTCATTGTAGATTTTTTTATCAAATTATGCTATCAATATTGGGTAAATCTTGGCAAGTTCTAGTATGTAGTTCAGGTTGTAATACATTAAGTTGAACTAAATTTTATATTATAAGATGTTGTTTAATTTGTAATACGTTAAGTTGAACCAAATTTTATGTTATAAGATGAGGTTGGCATCTAAGTGTATATAAATCCTAGTCAAAACGTCAAGATAAAGTATTTCATTTTCTTCGAGCTAAGTTCAAAGGTTATAAATCCTTATTAGAAGTGTAATATTATCTCAATTCTTTTATTTTCTAGGAGATTTACAATAGTTATCACGGACATATAACTGAAGAAGGTTCAAGAAGGTTCTAGGAGGTTCTAGAAGGTTCTAAAAAAGTTCTTATAGATCTTAGAAGATTCCAAAAGGTTCTTATAGGGTCTAAGAAGGTTCTAGAAGGTTCCAATAGATTCTAAGAAGGTTTTAATAGATTCTAAGAAGGTTTTAATAGATTCTAAGAAAGTTCTAGAAGATCATAGAAGATACTAGAAGATTTTAGGAGGCTTTTAATGATTTATGAAGTTGCAGAAGAAGGATATTAAGCTTGCTTAATTCCCAAGCCTCATAAAAACTTCTCAAGAATCTTTCTAGGACCTAATATATATAGGAGTCGAGATTGAGGGGATCCTCAATCTTGACAACTCTCTTCTTGTAGTCTAGTTAGGACCTTCTTATCTTGTATCCAATTATTATTCTAATGTCGAGCTAACTTCATTTCTTTGTCTTGAATCCTTCTCTTGTATATGGTCTCTAACAGCTTATTGAGACTACCATAAAACAATATTAGAAGCTTGGACTTTCTTAATAGAGAGTGGATTACCTCTCTTCTTGGAAGTACTACAACATTCTAAAGGTTACAAATTACCCTCTTCTAGACTAATATTGTTTTTTTTAATATTCTTTTGTTTTTTTTTTCTTTATACAATAGATTAAGTTTTTTTTTTTTTTTTTTTTTTTTTTTTAAATGCATGTACTTCTCTGATTTTTTATGGCAAAAGGTCAAAAAATCAATATGACAGACTCCAAAGAGATCAAATTAGATTCTATTATTAATACTCTTGAAGCATTGAGGATTAAGATAGAGACTTTATTGAAGCAAAATGAAGAACTATATATGACCATATATAATGGTCAAGGAACCGAAGTGCCTCAACCACGACATCAAATGATAATAGAAGTTCCAAATTCTCAAATGACTATGTCTGTTTCAAATATGGAAGCTGTATCTTCTCAAGGCAATGATTTAACAACAATAACAACAAAAGAACCAAAGATCAATCTTTTGAAAAAGTTTGATGATACTTGCTCAAAATTTTGTGGCTTTGTAAACCAAGCAGCTCTAATTACCTTGCTTCAATATCAACAATATTCCACTGAAGCATCTTATGTTGATTTGGTTGGAACCTTGCCGTCATGTCAAGCTTTATCTTAGTTTGCTCTATTATTTGAAAAAATTCTCCTACATTGCACAATTTTGAAGCATTTTTGGCAAGATTTGTAAAAGCATTTGGTGAATATGATAAAGTTTATTTTTCAACAATTAAAATTCAAAGCCTTCAACAAAAAATATATTCTACATCAAAGTATGCCTGAGATTTTTGACAATTAGTATATGATATAAATTGAGGAGAAGATGTATTGATGAATCAATTTCATTGGAAATTAAAAGATGATGTCAAAGATTTATTGTTGTCTATGTCAGATCCTTAAACACTCAATAAAGCCATTAGTCAAGCTGTGAAGTACGATAATCATTTATTTCAATGACAACAAGATAAATATTCTTCAATTATATCATATGTATATACCAATTATTCTACAACTTTTTCATTCAATTCTAATGAATATTTGGAAGCAAAAGATATACAAATTGATGCAATTTGCTTCAAACGTCTTTTTGAGCCAAAAAAAAAGCATCAAAGGAAACTTGGCCTATACTTATATTGTGAAAAACTTAGCTACAAGGTTAATAATTGTTTAGAGAAATGCTAGCATATACATTAAATGAAGAGTGCGGCCACATTATCAAAAGCTTTGCAGAAAAACAAGGACATCGAGCTATAGTAGAGACAATGTAGCTGGATTCTTGACTATCACAAACCAAAAAATATCTTATACTCTTTGCTAGTCCTTCTCGTTGTTTTACTATACCTATATAATTAGGAGTCACAAAACTAGAGTATCATGCATTACTTGATTTGAGAGCCTTTGCATGTTTTATTCATCCAAAGAATTTTTTAAATCACACAAAATCTATATGGTGAAAAAATCTAAAGCCATATATGTAGAAGTAACAGATAGTTGACCTTTATCTTTTGGAGATGTCAATTATGAAGTGATTCGATTAGAAATAACTTTTAACAACCATAGTAGCCAGGTAGTATTCAACTTCATTAGATCACCATCAAATCCAATCATTTTAGGACTCTCATGGCTTGAAAAATACAATGTATGGATGGATTGAGTATCTCAAAAGTTAATATTTCTTCTAGTAGATCATAGAACCTCCAAATCTATAAAAAAGCTTTTAACACGTGACAAGCCAAAATTTAAACAATATTTATTTATTAGAGCTAGAGCATTTGTGAGGGTGGCTAAACAGGGCATTACGTTTGTTGTCTATGCAAATCCACAATTGGAACTTGTGGTTACTACAACAACAAATCCATAGCCATATAAGGATTTTATAGATGTATTTTAAAAAAAATACAAACATTCTACTAAAGCATCACCTTTACGATTGTGCCATTGACCTTCAAGAAGGTTCTCAACTACTATTTGGACCTATCTACAATTTATTCTAAAATGAGCTTGAGACTTTAAATGAGTATATTAAGGAAAATTTGGCTAAGAATTTTATTTGACATTTTAAGTCGCATATTGGTACTTGGATATTATTTGTGAAGAAGAAAGATGGATCTTTACGAATGTGTATCGATTATTGCAGCCTTAATAAAATCACAATAAAGAATTGATATCCATTGCCATTGATATCCGGACCTCTTGATTAACTTAGCCAAACAAAGATCTTTACAAAGATTGATCTACGAAGCATGTATAACTTGGTACACATTAAGGATGGAAATGAATAGAAGACATCATTTTCTACAAGGTATAGACATTTCGAATACAATGTCATGTCTTTTGGACTTATCAATGCATCAGCTATATTCTAATACTTAATGAATGATATATTTTGCAAGCATCTTGACAACTTTGTTGTGATATATTTGGATGATATTCTAATCTTTTCAAAGAATTTGAAAGATGAAAAAAAACATATCTATCTTGTATTAAAAAAGCTACAAAATATTAGAGTATATGCAAAACTAGAAAAGTATATATTTCATGCATCTCAAGTTAAATTTTTTGGATATATTATTTCCAACAAAGGTCTTTTTATGAATCCAAAGAAGGTATAAGCAATCATCGATTGGATAAAGCCAAAAATTATATGTGATGTCCAATATTTTCTTAGATTTATAAACTTCTATAGGATTTTTGTTAAAAATTATTCTAAAATTGCTGCTCTATTGATGCGGTTGACATGTAAGGACAAGTTCAACTGGGACCTTGAAGCAAAGAAAGTTTTTCAAAGCTTAAAAGATGCTTTCATAAGAGCTCTAATTTTGATACATCCAGATTTCAACAAGTCCTATTTTATAGAGATCGATGCTTTAGACTTTGTATTGGAAGTAGTCTTGTTGCAATATAGAGAAGATAGCAAACTTCATCTAATTGTATTCCATTCTAAAAAATTCTCAATGAGAAAAATCAACTACGAAATCCATAATAAAAAATTTCTTGTTATTGTGGATTCTTTTCAAAAATAATACTACATTCTTGAAGGTGCCTCTCATCAAGTAACTATATATACAAATCACAAGAATCTTGAATCTTTCATATTAGTTTAAAACTTGAATCGTTGCTAAGTACATTGGAGTATATCTTTATCATGATTTGACTTTTGTATCATTGAACAATCCGAGAGCCAACAAAGGTTATCAGATATATTATTAAGATGTTCTTACCTTGAACCAAAAGTAGGCGAGGTAGCATATGATCAATAAAGGGCAACCTTGTTAATTTCATCTTTAAGGAACCAATGTATCAATGCCTGTGGATTTATCATTTCTTGATCAAGTTTGTAAAGCCTCAAACACAAACCCTCTTGTTCTTAATATCAAGCATCTTTACAACAACTTTCTTGAA